TTTAAATATACAACTTTTAGCACGGTGTTTGTAACTAAACTATAGCCTAAACTTAGATTTAAATCCATCTAATACCTGCTCTTGCTCTGGAGTGCTCTGGGGCTCAGGTCCTTCTTGGAAGTACCGTACCTAATCCTATTTATAGTTTTTGGCCAGCTTGCTGTGTCAAACACCCCATATCACCCCTTCCCTACTTCCCTCTTACCCACAAAATCTTTTCAATTTACCTATAGGGAATCTTTTGGGGACGGCAGACTCAGAGCTACCCACGTTCCCTATTGTTTGTTGCGGAGGGTAAGTTTCTCATAATCACCCCAGGCCGAAAGTCCTACACTCTGAAATGTTAATTACCCTCCTGATATAACAGCACTGGAGACATCTGGTTGTAGGTTGGCCAAAACTAATTTACTTCTGTCGATGAGGGCCGACGTTGCCGCAAAGCTATTAGACGAACATTTACACACCTTGCCTTGAGTGACTCGAGAGAATTCCGGGAACTTAAATATTCCAGACGGAAATTAAACTCAATTTAAGAGTTTAGATTGCGTTTTGCGTGGGTAAGCTATTTCTGTTTTAAACACCAAAATGAGAAACAGTTAAGGAGCTGCGGGATTGATAAGTTCATTATAGTCGAAAACTATGTTTGAATTAGTTTCTTTAAAATTGTGAATGCTTGAGTTACGAATTTTGAATACAAATTTCTGCAACATTTTATTTCCCTATGTCCGACCTAAACATTTTGTCGAGTAACTAAATATGTAATTTTTGTGGTGTCCGCACTGTAGATAGATATTTTAGGGTGAATATCAGTAAAGAAAGAATATAGTTAATTGTCTTATATGTCTAAAGAGTTGATTTTTTTACCATGAATTAAATCATAAATCACATTCAAATGCTAAAGCTATATTCAGTTTTCGAATAAAAATATCGTAGGTGAGTTGATCCGCAGACAGTTGTTGTTTTTCTATCTACATTCTAGGTATTAACCAAGCGGGAAACGGACAACCTTTCCCAGGGTTAAAATTGACCTGCGAATTTCTGGCCTGTTTTGCAGGGATGGACAACCTTCCCCATCACTAATGAGGGGTCTGGGTGGGACAGGTTGGCCGCCCCTGCTGCCAGGATTATCTTCGAGTTTGACGATAGGTAACAGGGGATGCATAATCCATTGCATCCCCTGTTTTATAGCATTTGCACTGCAATGCACTGGGAGATAATATTACTTCCCTTAAGGAATTGTTAGCGTTTACGGATTTTATTTATGATATTTATTCATGCGATTTGAAAAAAGAAAAACATCAAGCAAAAAGTCAAATAAATTATTATCTAAATATACTAGTGTAAACGTGAGCTAATATTCATAAAATATACCTATATTCATTAAATGTGAGCTATTAAATGACTTTAAACAGTGTTTAAAGATATTTCGCCCACAATAAAATATATTAAGTCTATTTTACGTGTGTAATGTTCAATGACGTTTAAAACTTTAAATTAACATAAAAATAATACAGATCTTGTATGAATGGGAAATGAGACAATTTGTCTGTATTTATTTTGTAAACACATTTTATTATCATATTTATTATTTTATTATTTAGTTGGGTCGTAAAAACTACAAACTTACCATGAAAGAAAATCACATTTGCTATAACACCTTTTAAAATTTCCATTCAACAAGATCAGAACATCTAGAATCTACATCAGAATTAAAAGTCCATGAAAAAAATCCCAATAATCCCAGGTACCTAAAGACTTCGTTTCCAACCAAAAGTCCTTAGACTTTTATCAGGATAAAACCGGATACTTTTAGTTTATAAAGCGACAACTATTTCACCCAATTTTCATTTAGTTTTTTTTTTATTTGTAAAACAGAGGTAAATTATAGCATGTCTTGTTTTTATTGCTTTTTATTATTAACTAAGATTGAATAATTAGTTGTTTTTTTTAGAAAGTATAAGAAAGTCTCATACACTTAGTTAATAGAAATTTCGTTACTCAACAAGGATAAATACAGATAAACAGAACAAAACCATGTATGTAAGAAAATTAGAGGTATGTTGACATGGAGAAAACATTTACACTACTTTTACAAATTCAACATATTATTATTATGACACAAAGTTGATCCATAAGAAAATATTTCAAACAACATTTTCTAACCTTTTTCTCCCATACAAATATTAATAATGGTGATCAGATTATTGTATGTTTTAATGCATTACTGAAAATTAACAAAACAATTTGTAACTTTTTATAATTTTTGTACTGTATATCTGTATTGCAGAGCTTCGTCCCATCACTTGTTCACATTCTTGCATTATCAAATATTGTAAAAAGACTAAACTTACTTTTTGTATTAGTTTTAAAGACAATTCCAATTTCTCCTAAGGCGACATAAGGGTATTTGTTGTACACACACACACACACAAGACTCACAAGGGAGGTGAAAGTGTGTTAGTAAGGAGGGAAAGTGAAGGTGACGTTGACGAATAACTGTTCTTCAACTGCTTCCATCCAAGCAACATCTCTTTGTTGCTGCAGAACACTATCCAAAAATACTCATTAGTCATAGCCAACAACAGCACTTTAGGTGGTTTATAACTTCCAGCAATAAGTCGATTTACATAATCTGTGTTACGAGTTTTAAAATAAAAATACATGTTTTATTAGTAATCTACATCTATGAGTGTTTCAATTATAGAATTTAAATTAACTTTAACTAGCTGTTACCCACGGGCTATGCCCCATTTAACTTCATAAGTATTATTAAAACTATTGATTGGTTAAGTTAAACTGAAATAAACAAAACAGAATACAGTAATGCAAACAAATAATCACGCCTGATTTTAATCCTACTACTATTATAAATGAGAAAGATTGGTTGTATGGATGTATGTATGTTTGTGACAAGTAAACGTGAAAAATACTGGTCGGATTGAACTGAAATTTGTCATGATGATAGCTCACATTCCCGATTAATATTATGGGCATATTCGGTACTTTCCTGTTAAAGGGAACATTCATTATTATCGATGATTTTCAATCGATATATCGATATTAACGAATTGAAACCTGTCAGCTGACAACTACGATAAATAAATATTGTTCAGTATAAAAAAAAATTGAAATGAAACGGTTCCAAACCAACCTAACAAAACTAACCAAACTTGCTGTAACATTTAAAAGTTCCGTTTAATATTCCCCACATGCCTTTTCTGTAATCAAACGGAATTTTTAAAATAGTACAGCAAGTTTGGTTGGTTATGTTAGGTTAGCTTAGAACAGTTTTAATCCATAATAGACTTGATTTTAGCCTAAACAAGACAGTTGTCAATTTGTAATGGATCGTAAAGGGAAAGAAAAATATCGATATATCGATTAAAAATCATCGATAATAATGAATGTTCCCTTTAACAGGAAAGTACCGCATATTCTTATCTCAAAAATCCTTTCGGGCTCCGCCCCAGTGGCTCTACAGTTCCCCATGTTAACCTTATGAGTATTCATATTTAAAGGGAATTAAAGAATTTAACCAGCTGTTTAAACTAAAAGAGTTGGTTCTATAATATCATAGACCGTCAGCTGTGCTGCGGTTACCATAGGTTCTGGCGCACACAGCTTAAAGCACCACGGTAGTTACGGCGTACACGCTGCGTAAACTACAGCGGTGTGCGCCGGAACCTATGGTAACCATGGCAACCGCAGCACGGCTGACAGTCTGATATGCAATTAAAATTTTAAAAGATTTACCAACAGGGTGCAGCACTATTATTTTTTTCATTTTTTATGAAATCAGCTAATTTGAACTAAGCAGCAACAAAACACTGTGATACGCAATGAGAACTGTCAAAGTACGTTTATTTACAGTATGGTTATGTTTTTAATTTCATGAATAATTTGTGATATTTTGCGAATTTTTAATAATCTATCTTTCTCTATTGTGTAGGTGAAGTGGTAGAACATTATGACTATGGTAGATGTATAATACTATAGCATACCGTAAATTTGAGGAAGCATATTTTCTTAAACCGTGTCTTCTCACATTGCAAAAGCAAAGATCGAGTATAACCGCAATAAGCATTTTATACTTATTTGCCAACCCAGTACGAAGGACGGGTACTCTGCTAGTAAGGTAATAAATTGGAAGAATAACAAACAAATGTACAGCTGAGGTATTTTTAACATTGGGTGTATGGAAAGTTTCCTTTGGAAAGAAATTACGACCTTAAAGGATAATTTTTGATTATAATGGATAGTTTTGCGCAAGGTTTTTCGTCATGACGAACATTTTAAGTATATGGTTTATGGAGGTGTGACTTGTAGTTTTCTTAAAAGTTGATGGGTACTTTGGGATTTATATATGGATTGCTCATGTCCTTCTATTCTTCCTTGTAAGGGGATTTGGTTAGGCTATTCTGTTATCTCATAAGAACTTGATAAGTAATTCTATTTAGCCTACTTGTTTAAAGTTTTTTTTACATATTTTAAGCACGAGTTAAGAACCTAAGCGTTTCATTAACCAACAGTAGAACCAAACTGAAAATTCTAAAATTTTTAGATCCGACAACAAATAACTCTTAAATTTTTCACTGAGTCAAAGATCTTATTTTTTTTTATCCAAGCAAATGTCAGAAGTCAATGTGAAATGTTGACAAACAAGTAAAAAACAACTTGTACGTGAAAATGAAAATGGATCACTTTTTACGACATTAAACATTAATTAAACCTATGAGTTGTAGAAGAAAATCTAAATATTCAAAGTATTGTAACCAATAACTTAAACCTTACTACCTTACCTAAACTAGCCTTACTACCTTGTGTACTTTATACTATCCCAATAAACAATTTTGGAAGACGGGTTTAATAGTTTCACTAGATATCCTATTTTATTATGTATCAATAGAGCCAGATATTTACAACAGAATGCGAGTGACAGTGTTCAAAGTCAATGTCACCGCAGAATATGGGGCAAAACACCATATTCTACTTACCAATTTTTATATACTTTATTAAAGGTAATAATTACAGCTTATTCAGTGTTTATTCTTCTTTAGTCTGCTTAATAGGGTCAGCAAGCTCATCACTTCTTCTTCTGTATATAACCTTTCGTTTTCATGGTTTGGCTTTTTCTTGCCACACCAGGGTTTATACTTATGGCCACAGTGTCCTGGCCTATGGCCACAGTGTCCTGGCCTATGGCCGCAGTGCACTGGCCTATGACCTGGCCTATGGTGCTGGCCTATATTCGGTTTATTAGCTTGGCCTGTGGAAGGTTTGCTAGCCTGGTCTACGGGAGGCTTATTCTCTTGGCCTGTTGCCGGCTTAGAAGGCTGTTGCTGAGTTCCTGGCTTTTGTAAACTAGGTTTCTTTCCTTCTAAATAAGTAAAGATTGATATGATCTTGGCGTCTTCGAAACCCAGTCTTTTTTCCTGATTGCCCCTTACTGTAATTTCCTTCAAGTTTTCAGTCACCAGATCATCTTTTATATTATTACCTTTAGTATATGTGTTCTTTCCTACATCTGTTATATGATTGCTTTTGAGCTCACCCTGTGAGCGTATTATCTCTAACACATCAAACCCGTCTCCATGTTCCGTTCTATAGTGTTCTCCATTGCTTTCTGGTGAATCGTGGTTGGCCGTACTATCATACCTCGTTATATCAACAGGAGGGTTATCTGCAAATTTGTCAATCAAATAAGGATCGTCGTTGATAGTTTTGATAATCTCTTTCTTAAAACCAAAATCTTGATCGTCGTCGAAAGAAGGCACTCTAATTGGAGCTGCAGCCAATGCCAAAACCTAGAATGCATAAAATACCCGTTAAAATACTATTTAGGCAATATATATTTTTAGATCGTCCTCTCCACAACTTTTTCTCAATGTGACACAATTGTCCGTGATTGTTGTCAGATATGTGTAAGGCAGTTTGAAAAAAAGTGTAAAAACTCATTTTACAATGGTTTAGTTGAAACTAAGGATATTATATAAATGTTAATTTTTCGTGTGGGACTAATAAAAAGTATTGGGTTTCAGTAAGAGTGGTGATGTTTCAATAATAATTTAATACATAAATATAGTCCATCTAAAAAATAATCTGGTACAACATACTATCCTAAGAGAATGTATATTATATACACTAGCAAATCATAAAAATTGTATGTGTATAGAAATAACTAATTATTGTTAAATCATGTAAAAACTACCAATTGCGTTTCAAAACTGTATTTAAAAGTGTTACGTTTGTGCGTAGTTATTCGATGATGCATACTTCATAACAAACTTGAATCTATACAGCAGTTATAATTAAGGAAATATGTATTTAAAAACTAGTTTTACATACCCTTATCAATAAAAGAAGTGAAGAATACACAAAATCCATCTTGAAAGCATAAAGACTACAGCTTGTTATGCAGCGTCTCTTCTCAAGGACAAACATTTTCAATCCATCTATGTGAGTGACATACCATGACAAACGTACATTTAAATGTGTTTTCATAAATTTAACAATGAAGAGCGAAAGTTAAATATATTTGTAAAATATGTGAAAATATTAATTATCATTTCATCAATCATTGAGAAGCTTTTGACACAAACGTCTTTTTCGGAGAAATACATTTTAGGCATCATGAATTTGAGTCATATTCTTTTTTCAAGACTATTACCTTTCACTAAACACTATATCTGCCCTGATTGAAAATATCGATCGTCTAGTAAAATGTCAGTCTGTCTCTGATGAAATCGTGGTGGCTTGGCGCCAAACAGGGAAACTTGAATCAAAAAACTACTATTTATGGCCACCTAATAGTATATATACTTAATATTTTGCTGTATACAAAATGTTCATCATTGGCGTTCTAATTAAATTGTACACCCTAAGACTTTAACAATGAATTTACCAACCATTCAACCATTCGAACTGTTTGCTTTAATTACTAGTCTAAATTACAATAACACCATAGTCAAACCCATCTGAAAGAGATATAACGTTTCTCTAGGCAAAAAACGTTTATCTTCCTAGAAATATATAAAAGTTTTCAATAGAACGGCCAAGCTTAAAATATCGTGATAGTGAAAATGCAAATAAATTTCATTCGATGGATTATACGTCAAATTAATTTTAATCGGATCTCTTTGCATTAAATTTTAATGTATGAACTGCTTACACAACAATTAATGAACATAATTGTATATTTATTACTTGCATTACTATAAGGTTTATTTCACTGAAAATACTTTGTCAGAATGGCATACTTTGCAAATGGGACGTATTTAACGAAAGTTTTAAGTGTTCATTAGAGCTGAAAACGTTTATATACGTAAAATGGTTGCGATGCCTGCATATAGTAATCCTTTGTTGCTGATTTTGGCAACTAGATTCGGTTCTTCTGAACCATCTTCAGGCCTCAAGGTGTCGAGTAATTACTTCATTCGAAGGTCGTTAACAAACAGAGTTCAATAATGTTTGCGACCTTCGAATGAAGTGATTACTTGACACATTGAAGCCTGATGATGGTTCAGAAGAACCGAAACAAGTTGCCAAAACCAGCAACAAAGGATTGCTATATGCAGGCATCGAAAGCCATTTTAAGTATAAAACAGTAATCCGGAGCCTAAACAACTATGTTTATATACGTGTTATATGTTAGAAACGTTGCTAAAATAAATTTATTTGTTGCAAACTAAAAATATTCTCAATTAAGTATAGTAAGCTAATATCAGTAAGCCTTCTTCTATAAAAAAAAATTGTAAAGTAGGCAAAGTAAAAAAACTTACTTTAAACATATCCATAAGAGCCGTTTTAATAAAAAAAAACCTAACATGCATTTTTTAATCGATCAAGTTTCACTATATCATTATTTACTTGATCTTAACACATTCTTTTGGTTAAACTGAGTTTTAGAGAGTAAACAAATTATCCACAAACATGCATGTGACATCACTCTCATTGAACTTTATCATAAATGACATTTCAAAGTATAGTAGAACTTCATCCTAAGCTTAATTAAAAACTTATCTCAAAGTGATTTTAATCAATAGCGTTCAAGATCTAAAGGAAAACAGTGGTTACTACAGAAGGCTAATTGGTTTTTGTTTGAAGTAATTTTAAAATGTTTAATACTTTTATAAAATATGTAAAGCCAACCATTCAGTATACCTCCCGTTTAACTTTGATTAAAAAGTTAAACTTTTATTACTTCAAAAATTCTGAATGACATCGTGGTTAAGGGCCCTTGAATACATCTGCCAATAAATATATCAATACTTCTCCCAATTCATCCCCGGATGAGCAATAAAGGTTTATTATTACGCTCAACCCATTTAACACACCTGTACTAAACTATGAGTTTTATTTTCTTTGTTTGTAATATTTGATACAAAATCTCAGAATCAAAACTATAAAAAACTAAATAACATTATATGTAAAAAGTATATCCGTTTTAGGCCACCATTATAATATCAACAACCGCTATTGTCACATAATATACTGTATTGTTTTATAATGTTGTGTTGTGAGGATTTGAAATATAAAATAAATTATGTGTCTCTTTAAAAAGAATCCTAGTTCCTTCTTCTTATTATATTTTTTATTTTAATTAAGTTATTTTATATTTCTACTTAGAATATCCTAGTAAAATGATTAGAGTATTTATAAATTAATGAAGCGGACTTATAAAAATAATTGCCTTTAAATGTTTATGATTTGTGTGAACGAAAATATAAAGGCAATTAAATTGTTGTAATTATGAATACCGTGTTCAGTTGAAATGCAATGTGGTTTCAGGGAATTGCTGTTCAACATTAAATATACCCCTGGATGTTTTAATCCCAGATTATTTAAGTTAACGTTATCCACATTTCAATCGACCCATATAAATCCTGAATTTAAGGGATTGCATTTGTAATCAAATAAAATGTATTAATCATTTTCATTATATTGTCAATAAGAAGAATTACTTTTTAGAATTAGAGCAAAGTAGTTATTGAAAACGGTGTACATCGTCACTAATATTTGTCTGTAGTTGTATTTAAAAGTGAATCTTATCACAATATTAATTTTATGGGTTTAATAATTTATATCGTATGGATAATGTAAACATTTTCATTTTCTATTTTTTACACCAATAAAACCCACAAACTAAGGTAAAATGCCTTAGTGAATGTAGACTTTAATACGTAAGGGTGAACTCAATTTCTGATAAGTACGAAAATATTTAATTAAATTTTTCCGCTATTTCTAAAGAGGTTATTATTTCATACTAAATACCACTAATGCGTACACAAACACAAACATGTTCTAAACAAACATAATGAGTAAAAATAAGGGCAAGCACTAAGAGATAAAAAATCAGAAACGCCACAGTATCTTTCCCAGGTATACAGTATACAATATATTCTGGAACAATTCCCCCATGTTTGGGTTCGATCTACTGGACAGTTTGACAATTAATAAACGACTTATGGACTTGAAATATCATTTATATCTGGATTTTGTGTTTTACAAATGCTAATTGTTTACTTGACTCGTACGAAAAGATTTACTTTCTAGGTGTGTTATAAATTGGAGGGTGCTTAGTAAAAGGTAATAGCAAACACTATTAAGCTTTTTAATATGAGGCATATATTTCTAACCAGTCTCGGTGTAGATTTTAGTTCACAGTTTATGATTTTTTTTTATTGGGGTAACATTTAAAACAAACCTGTCTCGCGACCCCGAGTGCTCGGTTGTTTTAGTGAATTTCCCATATAGGGAATAAGCTATTACCGTAGTACTCATGGTAAGACCTGGACTCTGGATTTTTTCGTTTTGAGGACCCTAGAGGCCAAAAACAACATCCGTTCAAATTCATCAAAATCGGGTCATTTTTGCTCGAGTTATCAAAGTTACAAACCATTTTGTAGAGCTTAAAAAACAAATAATTTAGACGCGTTGTTATGCGCCTAATGGTTACGGGGAAATGCCAAAAACTGTAAATTTTAAATCCCCATGTTATTCTTATGGAGAATAAGTCAACTGTTGTAGTTTGCTTGTATTGTTTATGATCATATTTTGATCGAATTTGGAAAATACATTCATTTATTACTAAACTTTTAACATTAAAAACCCCCACATTTTTACCATACTACTCGTGAAACTAATTCTATTTAAATAGGGGATAAATATGATATTTTTATGGAGGCATTTCAGTGTAAATCCTATCAAGCTAATGGAAATTCGCTTAGTCTGCAGGTTTGCTGCGGCGAGGGGTGTTTACTGTTTAATGTCCGTCTATCAATGTGGGTGTTCATGTGTGTTCTATCTTCGATGACCACCTTCACATACAGTCGAGGTAAATAACCTGAACGACACCTTGTACGGCCTGAAGATGGTTCCTTAGTGAGTGAACCGAAACTCTAGTTGCCACAAGCAGCACTTTCGATTACTGAATGCAGGTACTTAAACCATTATAAATTACGTAACCTTTTTCTCTATATCTTTATCTGTAAACCAAATATTTGTTTATTAACGAATTGCTGGCAAATTTAACTTGCCATGTTTTATATTCTAAAACTACAATATTAAAAATTGTATAATCTAAAAGTGGTTAAATATTTTCTTTATTAGACTAGGCCTACTTACATCAATACTGTCAATTTTATGATTCAAACTGTAATCGAATTTTCACATTTACTCAAAGCAGGGAATACTTTATGCGAATGCTCATCTCAAAATTGAATCATTTATGGATAAGGTTCCAAGTGGAGTTGTAATGAATAGCAGACTTAGAATATGGGTCAGATGATTTCTCATTTCTCAAATATCTGTGGAAGATTTATTTCCCTGTTTTGAAAATTTCCATCCAGTGAGGATTATGTGATGCCATTTGTCCTATCAACGACATTAAATAAAACTGAAATCTCCTAATTTGACAATAAGTATATGGCATTTATTCAATTTACAAACAGTGTTTGAATCTTCACAAAATACTATACACATCTATCTATGTTCCTTTTCCCTACTACCCCTAGCATCTAGTGCTAGCCCCTAAAAAAACACCATAACCCCATACCACCATGTCGTGTTAGTGGTAAAAAATAATTTATAAATAAAAAACTTTTTTAAACAAAACGTTTTTAAACGCCCTAAAAAGTAGAAAATAATTTACAAATAATTTATAAATATGTTGAGAGAGTATAAATACTTGTACGATTTAAAACGAAAAACGTGGGGTGCATGCAATAGATAGTTTACAATTACCTTCACTTACTGAACTAATGTATTATTATCAATTAATTGCATGCACCCAACGTTTTTCGTTTTAAATCGTACAAGTATTTATACTCTCTCAACATATTTATAAATTATTTGTAAATTATTTTCTACTTTTTAGGGCGTTTAAAAACGTTTTGTTTAAAAAAGTTTTTTATTTATAAATTATTTTA